TTTTATACTTTTTTCTTGTTTTTTGAGGATTCCCGTAAATTTTTGGACCGGTTTTATGAAAAATACGACAAAAGAAAAAATTTTTTTTTTTTTAATTGAAAAGAAAAAATAGAAATCGGAGAAACACCTTTCTGAAAATTTCATGATATCTGTAGAAAATGTCGAAGTTTCGAATGGGAAAATGAAAAAACCAACTAAAAATGGTATTCATCAAAAAATTTGGAGTTTTTTCTGAAAATTTCAAAAATAATGATGAAGATAGCTTTGAATAATTTTTTTATATTTTTTTCCAAAAAGAACATTTAATAACAAAAATTTTGAATAAAAAAACGTCACGATAAGCGAATTTTTGAAAAAGTTATGGCAATTTAAAAATAAAAAAGCGGTTTTTTTGAAAAATTCGGAACTTTTTTTTGGTTGGGTAAAAAAATTTGAAAAAATTATGAGAGACGTTTTTTGATAGGGTAGAAAAGGATGGTAAACTTTCAGCCAAATCAAAAGGGGTCAGGGTCAAAAGTGGTTGATTTGGCGTGGAATGCCCCGTATATATTGTGGAAATTTTTATAGTAAATTTATAAATAAAATAATAACTGAGAGAATGTTTTTATTTTTTTAGTATATATTACGTGTGAGCCTACATCTGGTTATTTACTAGTCACGTAAACAGACCTCCGGACTAAAACTATCATCCATAAATCGATTTTACAGACAACCAATTTTTTCCAACTAATTTAAGTACAAAGATATTTCATCAATATTCGTCAACGACCATATCATGCTGAATCCAAACACCAGTTCTCGTCCGATCACTGAAGTTAAGCAGCATTGAGCGTGGTTAGTACTTGGATGGGTGACCGCTTGGGAACACCACGTGTTGTTGGCACAATTTTTTTTTTAAATCAAATAGCTGTGTCGATAAACACTCAAAGTGATCAATAAAAAATTTATATACAATTTACTGTGACTTATAAAAATTTTAATTCAATTAGTTTTATTAATTTTATAAATTTCATTATTATTAATAAATTTTCAACATAAATTCTGTATAAATAAATTTAATGTCTAATACTTAATTCATTTTTATCACAAAAAATATTAATTGTCGTTGGTCATAAAATGAGTAGAAAAGAATTCTCTGATAAACAATAATTATTCCAAAAATGGTTAATTAATTATGCAATGAATAAATTTGAATTGAAATTTTATTTTATTTTTTTTTTTAAATCATCATACATCAATATAGTACATACATAGATATTATAAATATCATTAAACATGATGATTTCAACGCAATTATAATAATCAAATATTTCAGTCTACGATATTTATTATTTATTTATTTTATATTATATTTATCTTTTAGATTTACAGAACATTAAATATCTAATTATTCTATCCACTCAATCATCACTTCACCTTACTTATTAATTATTTTAAATCTTACATATCCAGTCGAGATCAACACAATCCCGGACACCATTTGTACGAATAAATCCTCGGATTTATTAGATTAAAATTCATCGATCAACACAGCACGCGTTAAACTTATGCAAAAAAACATTCATCTGTCAATTGTTCGAGTGATTAAACACATTTCTTCACTGAAAAGCCATACGTCAATTATAGCCTCGCATTCTAAATAACAGTCACTCAATAAATTTAATTACAACTTATAATTATTTACTTATACAACCAACTACTCATTTATTTATTTATTTATTTAAACTAATAAGCGTTTCAATGAAAGAAAAAAGTAAAAAAAAAACTAAGTCCCACAATTTAACATAAAATAAATTTTTAAAAAATCCGTCGACTTTTAGTTTTAATCGTATCAGTAAATTACAAAAATTTTTTCCTTCTAATTAGATTTAATAATTACAATATTTATTAAAAATGTTGCCAATTTAACTTAAAAACCTAAAAGATAAAAACTTATTTAACTTAATATTAACAATATTGCAATTTAATATACATTATAATAATAATGATGACCGTGACTGGAATGTTGACGTAAATGACATGATAGATTGAATCTCAAGTCAATTAATAAAATAACAAAACAAATAATTTATTTAGCTAACGGATCTTGTTGACTATTAGACGGTTGAGGCTGCTGTTGTTGTGGTTGCTGTTGCTGCTGGAGCACCTGTTGTTGGAGCATAGAATGTGCGACATTTTGCAGTCTGACTTGACTGGGGCCTGGGCTACCTCTCGCAGTGGTAACAATCGGTTTACCTTGTGGTAACGATTGTCTTAATTGTGCACTGCTTGCAGCAACGACCTGGATTGTTTGTTTCAATGCATTTGATCCCGCAACTGTCACTGGAATTACGCGAGTTTGCATTGGTGGCTTTGTTAGAACGACTTGTCCTGAAGGCGTCACACCAGTTCCCGCTGATACCTGAAAATATGATTTTTAATGATTAATTATTTATGATATATATATATATATATATTATCAGGACAGTTTTTAAATTTAGTTTTACTTGTTAATTATAGATGTTTTTATTAAATTAATGAACTCGAATCATTAGAATGTTTGAATAATATTTAATTACTTGGAATAAAAAATCAAAAAATTGAAATTTTTTAAAATTACTTTTTCAAATGAGTCATAAAAATTTTTTAAAATAAACTTTGCAGTTAATTTAATAAAAATTTTGTATCAACTGGAAATTGTAATAAAATGTGTCCACATAATTCTAGCGGTTCTAGTATTTCTTCCATATTCTATGTGTAGAAACAATTAAAAAAAATTTTTTTTACTCAATCATTTAAAAAAAAATGTTGCTAATTATTTACAAGTGGGGTCAACCCCATTTTGGGCCATAACTAGGTGAAAAATTAACATTTTCAATTTTTTTTTATTCTGCTTGTTTTTACGGACACATTTATGATAAAAAATGTGAAAGAAAAAAAAAAAAGATTTCGATAGCTTTTTTGCCTTCAAAAGTTGGAAAAAATTTTGGCTCTCATGTTTTTGGATAAAATTTCTATTTTGTCTTATTTTTATGTTTTTGACTTTTTTTTTTTTTTTTTTCAAGACATAAAAAAAACGAACAATTAAAAAAAAAAAGTTGAATATCACAATTTTCTAAAAATTTTTAAAAATTTGTTAACATGGTGATAATCAGTTTTTTTTTTAATTGTTAATTTTTTTGTTCTTTAAAAAAAAAAATATATCAATAAAATCAAATAGAAATTTCGTTCAAAAAAATGAAAATTAAAATGGTTGACTCTACTTGTAAATATATACAAAAATTATTTTTTTATCAAAAAACTGACATTTTTTTTTTTTTACAATTGTTCTATTTTTGAACTTAAAAAAAAATTTGATAGTAAAAAAAAAGTCTAAATATCATTTTTAATGGTTAAAGTACTGTGGACCGTAAAACTAAAAAATTACAAAAATTTTGGATAGAGCTTTGATAAATTAAAATTATTCCCATTTTACGATTCTGATACGACAAAATTGAACTATGATCAACATCATTTCTAAATAAAAACAAAAATAAAACTAAATTTATAAATAATGCCCTACTGGGTGCAAAATGTCGTTAATTTATATCTATAATTACTCAAATTTTCTTTTTACAAATCTGTTACTTTTTCCTTTTGTTATGTTTATCTACTCGAATAGTTATAAAGCGATTGATGCAATCTGAATTTATTACTTCACTTTTTTGATTATCTGGTCATCACAAAAATAATTTAAGAATAACTTTGTGAAGATTATTAACCCTGTTAATGGCTACGACTGTTGAATTTGATTGTTAGTAAATAAATAAATTAATTAAAAAATAAAATTACCTGAGCAAATTGTTGCATCGCAGAGGGCTGTACATTTTTGAAAACTTGTTGAACCGTCATAGTATTCTTAGGAGGAACAATAAACTGGGCCTGTACGCCAACTTTTCCCGCAATTTGCGTAAGCTGAGTCACCTTTTGCCCCGTCAATCTTTTAGGATTGATCATAGGATGCATACCAATTTGCCGAAGCTGCTGAGAAGTCGGAGCACCGCGAACCATACTGGCTTTAACAAGTGCCGCAGTAACTGGAGTACCACCAGCAACTGGATTAGCAACACCAGTAGCACTGGTCGAGGTTCCAGACTGTTGTGCATGAAGGCCAGCTTGCGTGAGTATTTGATGCGGAGTCAGTCCCGAGGGCGACGACATCTGCACGACAGCTTTTCCCTGCTGCAACGCAACTTGTCGCTTAATCATAGCCATATCTGCCTCCGGTACTCGTGAGATAGATTTTCCGACGGCTACTTGAGCGACAGTGTTCCCAACGACGCTCTGTTTCATCAGAGTAGCTCGCTGCTGAGGAGTTCCTGCGACCGAGACAGAAACCTTCTGCCCACTGGCTGCTGCTTGCAGAGCTTTAAGTTGTTGCTGATTAGCTACACTATATGGCTGGCGAACCAACAATTGCTGCTGCCGAGCGTAATACTGCAACTGGCTAGGAGTCAGCGGCTTAGCGCCCGGTGGTGCAGCCATCGTGACACTCACGATCCCTTTCTGAGCACCCGACTGTGCTACAGACACAAGGCTAGCTGTAGGAATCCGCTGGCCAGGTTGGAGATTCGCTACACTCACAACAGCTGTGTTAGATCTTACATCTTGGATCGGCAAAGTGCCTTGACGGACTTTTAAAGCTGTCACCACTGAAGTGCCGCTGGTTACTGCACTGGTCACACTGGTGGTTTTAACTGTAGGCCCCGCTGTGGTCACAGAAACTATTTGCGACTGCAATTGTGAAGTTGTTGTATTTATAGTCGCCACTTGCTGGACAATTTGTTGTTGTTGCGAATTTATGTGAATCTGTTGAGTCTGGACTTGCGGATTTGCTTGAGATTGCTGCACTTGTTGCAATTGAGCTTGAGCTTGAGCTTGAGCTTGGGCTTGAGCTTGCTGCTGTTGAGCTAATCGCGCTGCCGTTTGCTGGTCAGGTGTTAATATCTGAAATGTAAAATTAATTTATTAAACACTTGTTGAAAAATTAATTTTCGTTTAAATTATTATTTTTTTTTCTTAAATATTTGCAGTTTTTTTAAATTTGATTTTTTTTTTTTCGAAAATTTTTCAAATAAAAATAATGATGATTTAAATTTGAGTTGTTTTACGTTTGATGATTAATTTAGTGAGATAAAAATTTTTTTATTGTTTTTAAGTATTTATAATTATGGAGTTTAGTGTTGAAATTACTCTTCCAGTTAATTTTTGCTCTATTACTATTTTTTGATAATAATGATTCAAATGCTTTTGTTATAAGGTAAAATAGTATCTAGTACTTGAACAGACTTTTTCGAATTGTTGTAATACAAAATCCGTAAATTTATTAGGAGTAATATGCGCATATTATAATTATTCAATGATACAGTAATTGATTTCTCTAAGTTTGTTCAATTATAAATCAAAACAATTATATTTTTGTTAACTTAAAAGTTGACATATCGAGAATAACTGTTAGATGCTATTTTTTTCATGAAAAAGGTTCTAAACCGTAAACCGAACAATCAGTAAAAAAAACGGTATATCATGATTTTAAGTGAAAAAAATTGTACCACCCAATAAAATAGTCTTTTCTAAATAATACATATTTTTTGCAAAGATATAAACTATAATTTTCATATAAAATTTTAGCGTCTAACTATTCCTCCAAATTTTTAAAGTGGTACCCAGAACTTGAACAAGCTGGGACCATATAATTTTAACAGCACTCTAACCTTTAATAGGTTTATAAACTAGTGATCAGTATTGTGATTTGTATTAATTACTGCAAATTAAATAAGTTTTATAACTAAAAATTATTGAACGTTTTGAATTGAGCTTTTTTGATTTATAATTGAAAATTTACTTTGTCATTCATAAAAAATGTAATTAAAAAATCAAATACAAATGTTTCTCATTTTTAAATGAACACATTAAATATCCACAGTATTATTTTTAATATTATTCAATAATATGTTATAAATCTTTGAATATTTCAATAAAACGTTGAAAATTTTTGGTGTGCCTATTGTCATATATTTCATTAGTTCAACAACTACTGCTCCCGGAGTGTTCAACTACTGCGGCTTGTCAGAATTGATTGTTCAACTACTACTCCTTTCATAGTCTATCTTAAAAACGTCAAAATATAAATATTCAATTATCTGCGTTAATTTGCGCTTCAATCAATTCAAAATTGTTTATATTTTCATGAAAATCACTAATTTGAATTAATAATTACATCTTTATAAATTAAAAATAGGGTCAAATACGTTTTACTTTGAAACCTGTTCAACTACTGGGTACTTTATGTTATTGTATTTCTCTATGTTTGTTTTAGTATTTGAAAAATTCTTGAAAGAGACGAAATGTCGTACGCCAATAAAAGATTGATCATTAAAAATAACAATAGTTTTTGATCAATTTCAAAATCTGTGATTCTACAATAATAATAATAATAATAATAATAATAATAATAATAATACTTACATTAGTATTTTTATTTTTTTCTTTGTTAATCCTGTCAGCTCGACGTATTGCAACATCAAGTGGTGACATAGGATTATCATATTGAACACCGTGATCAGCTAATACGGCTGCATGCTTTGGATTTGTCGCTGTCGGATTACTAACTATCAGGGATTTTGTAGTCCCCGGGCCTTTTTTTCCCATCAACATTTTAATAGTATCGAGACGCTGAATACACATCAATGTAAATGAGTTGTTTTTATCGTGATCATAAAGCTGGCTTGTACGCATCGGGCGATTCGTTTTGCTGTGCTGCTGTATTTGTAAAAATTATTCAATAAATTAGATACAATGTATTATTTATTGACAAGAGACCTAGCACTCAGGATTTAACAGTTGATAAAGACTACGTCAATAAATAAATTTATTATTTTTTTTCAAAGTTTAGTGTCACTCCAGACAGGATTCGCATAACGTAAAAAATTCCACTTATCCGTTACACGAGTTTTAATGGAGTTTTTTTATATTTCGCTGAGTTATTATTTGTGACCAATCGAGATATTTAATCAAGTAGGTTGTCGGCAGCGAATGATTTTAAATTTCTCAATTCAATAAATGTGTCAAAAAGTTGTTGATTTTGATGAATATCAATTCTCATATATTTGACATTCATTTATCATTTTTAATTCAACTTTATAAAAAGATTGAAATAATTGTGAACAAATGGTTTGATAAATTTTTTTCGGTAATTATTTACAAGTGGGGTCCACCCTATTTTTGACCATATCTAGGTGAAAAGTTAATATTTTTTTAATTTTTTTTATTCTGCTTGTTTTTACGGCGCATTCATGATAAAAAATCTCGTGAAAGGAAAACATAAAAATTTCGATAGTTTTTTTGCCTTTAAGGAAATCCTTTCGCTCCAGTTGAGTCAAAACAATTGTAGTAGTCAATATACGATAAATTAAAAAAAGAAACCCATAAAAATTCTTAAAATTAAATAATAAATAGTATATGAGGCATTAATCGTTGAAATTTTGAAAATAAAAAAAAAAAAAACAGTTAAATACAAAAATTAATTTGACTCTTTCAAATCAACTGCTAGTAACTTGTCTGTGATTTGGCAACGCTGTACTTCGATTGTTTACATTTTCATTTGCACAATATAACCTTAACCACGTTTAAGTTTTTGCAGTCAGAGTAAATAAATAAATTAGTTTGAATTTATTGAATGGTCTGAAGCTCCCGCGATACGCAACGTTGCCAAATGTTTTGACTCCATTTTAACGTAGGTTACTTGAAAATTTTTTGTGATTTTTAAATATTAATTCCTCAATAAATATCTCGGTAACTGATATATTTTATTACAAAAAAAGAAACCTGAATATTTCGAAAATCTAATTTTTAGGTTTTTTTTACTTCATCTAATCCATGACTGACAGTATAATTCGAGAAATAC